CCTCACTATGTGGGAAGATTTGCATAATGCCGCCCAAATGTTCATTGTTCAAATGTTTATTTACTTTATCATGATTTGTGGACACAAGGGTTCAATCTCGACAACATTCAGAAACGTATTTAGTCTGCTAGAATTTGAAAGATACATAGATTTATGATGTTTTAAACAGCAAGCAGAGTGTTTGTTTTGTTAAACGAGTTATGCCAAAAAAGGAGAAAAGCTTATGGTAAAAAAATGGCTTAACACATCTTAGACACATGAATGTTATTAGCATTTCTAAAGCACCTAAAATGCAGAACTGTATTTGTTTTCTTGAAATATAGTTGGAACGTCAAGTTCTGAAGGGAATTAAAGGGTCACGTTAGTGTAATTCACCTCTGATGAACTCTATTAACTTTGCATTTACAGCAACACATCAACTTCTGACTGTGTAAAAGTAGTGTTGAGATTGAATTAAATGCTGCTTAAAATGAAAATAATTATTTATTGACATAGGTTGCAGACTTTTTCATTTGTGTAAAAGAGGCTAAGAATAACACCTCAGAAATTAAAAGTTAGAAATTAAAAATACTAATCTACATTTTCACAGGAAAGTGAGCAAAGGTAGGTTTGGAGATTTACCTTGGAGATGAAGATGGTATTGATTTTGGGATTGTGTTTAAAGTTCTGAAGGATCTGCATACGTTCTCCTTGAGATGTGGGTCCATAAATATACAGTCTGACGAGAAAGAACAAAAGAGAATGTATGTGTACCAAAAATCATATATATCATCATATATAGCATGTTGAAGAAGGGAGTTCATACACTTACATATTTGCTAAAATATAATATAATACATAACTCGAAGCATATTTTTAGCAGAATCCCATTGTATGTTATTATATATAAAAATTATAAAATTATATAAATAAAAATATAAAGAAACCACTGAAAGTTTGCAAACTTCACCTCACAAACTCTCAAAGTCCTACAGTGTCACCATACAGTATGAGATTTAGAGTATAGCCTTTCGAACACACTTTGCACACTTTACAAGGAAGGAAAAGCCCATTCATTTGGCAAAGTTAAAGGTGATTATCAGCAAAGTAAAGCTGATTACAGGTTGCGCCAGGGACAGTCTCATAGAATTGCCTTCTAGAACACCCAGACACAAACGCAGGTTTGCATCATGGCCTTACAACATACAAAGTTCTGAGAAGTACTCAAAAAAAGACGTTTTTGTGGATCATTTGAGCTCTGTTGAGCTCTTGTGTGTAAGCTGCTTTTTAACAGCTTTTAGTAAGTTTATGACTTTGTTGATACTGCATGTTTCTGAACTCTTAACATACTTAAGTAGCATTAAAATGAAAAAAACACAACAACTTTTGTAATACAGTCCTGAAAAGACCTTGAAGGGCCCAGAAAAAAATTCATTTTCTGCATAAAGAAATT